ATACGTTTGGTTAGGATTATGGCAAGCCAAGAGGTTCAGAATTACACCATAAATGAATCGCGTTTACTGCCAAACATAGTTATTAACATATAGATATGGCTTATATTGCCTAATTGCAAGCTTGTTTCAGAAATGGTGACAACAATTTTTTTCCATCATTATTGAACATCATTATAGGAGTATTAGGTTGAATGAGTTAGAATTAAATGTTTTATTAATCATTAGAAAATAGTCATTAAGAGAATCAATTATTATGCAAGTACTTTTACTTTTAATACTTAAAGTACATTTAAAATCAGTTACTTTTTACTTTTTACTTAAGTATGGTTGTCATTGTGTTACTTCTACTTTTACTAAAGTAAATATTTATCTGGTTATTTGTACTTTTACTTAAGTACTGAGATTCAGTACTTCCTCCACCACTGGGTTTTGGTAAAAAAAAAAAAAAAAACGCTCGTTGGGCTCGCCTTTTAGAGCATATGGCCATATGGCTCTCGCGTCGGAATTTGAGGAAGTGGGGGAAGTGATGTATGCCGTAAAGCAGTCGAATTTTGTAGTTCTTTTTGTGCTCGGGTTCCTACCCGCTCCCCGAAGTTACAGAGTGCCAGTAAAAGCGATACAGACCACGTCAGGCTATGGCAGACCTGTCATTCAACCTATTGTAAGTTGATGTACCATCTCAAGGGTTTTGGAAAAAAACTATAGTGCTGCTTTACATAATATTCTAAGTACCATAGATTATTAAGGTTTTTATTTGATTTGGGTCAACGTTTTTTTCTTTTCTTCAGACATTAGAATGAGTCTTAATAATTTTATTCGCAATTCAACTTCCCAACCTTGAAATTGTTTCACTTTCTCTTAACTGCTTTTCAAATGTTTTAACTGTATGTGACAGCTGTTCCGTGGCAGGTATTTATTACAATCTCATTTATTTTCTATTAACTGTCTCCAACAAAACGTCAACCTTACAAATATTGGCAAATCCATTAACTAGTTCTTCATTCTTAAGACTGCCTGGGGACTTATTAAAAATCCACACACCCTGATTGCTGGAAATTTGTCATAAAGTCAGACAGTCAGATTGGAACTTGATTTTTTTGTGTGTAGTGTGTATCAGACAATGAATAAATTAGTCTGAGACGAAGACCTTTGGAATAGGATAGTTCCAGTTTGTTTGGCTTGGAATGTTGGGATGTCCATTCAACCCCTTCAAAGAATGTCAATGTAATTTCTTACTAGAAACATTTTCACAGTTTCTGTGGGCTTTCAAGACATTTCTCTGGGATATACATCTCCCACCATATGATTCATTTGTGGAGAAGTGTTAGTCAATGTTTTCCAAAACCGTTGTCATTGGTTCAAGAGTTTAAAACTGTCATTAATGATGTTGAGCTGGTGCTGAAGAAATAACTTCACACACACTTTAAATTAAATGCCTTTTAATAGTATGTACTAACATTTAAAGTTATCATTTGACTAATTGTTCACATTTTATGTTCAGTGAAAAAAATTTTCACTCAGAATATGTTTGTAAACTTGAATTAATTACAAAGAAACCGCAAATACATTGTATTAAATGTGAAATTTTGAAGTAGAAAGATTGAAACGTACTCCCATAATCTTATAATCAATATACTTTTATTTCCAACTTTGGAAACTAATTTTCTCACAATGTATTTAAATTGCACTATATATTTAAGAAATCCCAAGTTACCCCTAATAAAAAGTGGGAACTGCTAATTAATCAAGTATTAATTTCAGATTATAATAACTCATTTATAGCAGAAATTTGAGAAAAAAAGAGACCAATATGAGAAATTCCCATTTGCGTGCACATAGTATGAGATGTTGGATCTATGATTTTGGGATCAACTGAATCATTGACCATGTTGGCTATGCTGTAACTTGTGACCAGAGTTGGCTAATGATGCTTTTTGGGAATGCAGGCCGACACTACAACATTGGCCCAATCTATAAATTTGGTTGAAGGGCGTTCTGTTTGGTCATGCAGCACAGATGTGTGCAGATATATCAAGTTATCCTGTTGATTTTGAAAGCTGTGTGTTATTCTGAGATTGGGTTTTGTTATAGTCTGAGGTTTTATTAGCATATTTATATGAAACAAATTCATAGGAGCTTAACGGTGTATTACTCAACAGCATCAAGAAGCTGTTTCAGTCTCGCACAAAGCAGAGGAGTGTGAGGAGAGCCTGAGGGAATGAGTCTCTCTCTCTCTCTCTGTCTGTGTGTGTGTGTGTGTGTGTGTGTGTGTCAAGCTGGCAGGTCTTCTACACACACTGTGCCAGACCCTGCAGCATGGTAGCATGCACAATTTCTCTCATTAATTTGTTGTTTACAGAGGGGGACTTGCTAACTCAAACAGGATTGCTTTGAGTTCTGTCCTCTGTTTATATGATTGACATGATCTTCTGGTTGTAACTTTTCTGGCTGATTGCTTATTAGTGCTTCTATCTCTATCATTATTGCACAATTATTGCAAGGCACATGCATTACACAAACCTCCAACCCAATCAGACGTTGACATGAGGGTCATTTACAAATATTTCTACATTAAAAATATGCATTCACACATTTGGGAATACATTAAAATCTGATTTGTGGCTCGTATAGACAGGAATTTGAACCTGTTCTGGGATTATCATGTTTTTAATTTCTGACCTGAAAATTATTCGTAAGTTTTTTTCTTTTTCTTTGTGGCATAAAGTAAAAGGGTGATAAAATCAAAAAGGACAGAAAAATCTCATTAAAATTTGTCACGCTGCTTGAATGCCTAAAATCTTTTGAAAATCTGGTGCAATAAACGTAGTAATGTGCAGAAAATAGAGAAGAATATAGAGCCAATAGAGGTCGATAAGTGTCTTAAAGATAATTAGACCTTTTATACAACAAGGCAAGGTAATTTCAGGTTGTACAATGTCATGTCGTGGGTTTTGTGGAAAATGCTTTTTTCTTTAATTTACGTGCAGGTGACTCACAGCTCTTTCTCTCACTTGCACCAGATGCCCACAAATTAATTAGCACCACATACTTGCATTTACAGAACAAAACTGTGGCTGACTTAACAAATAGCTGTATTAAACACTTACAAAGAATTAAGATTGCAGCTGCAACAATGTATGTACACACTAGAGCCAGACCGATATATCGGTAGGCCGATATTATCAGCCGATATTAGTCATTTTCCAAAGTATCGGTATCGGCAGTTATAATGGCCGACAAATGAATATTTCAGAAATAAAATAAAAACGGACTAAACACGCTTGAACCATGTCTTGAGTGTTGGAGTTGTATAGTTTGTCCACCAGAGGGCACTCTACACCGTTCCTTTTGGCAAGCTAAACACTCATAGACTAGCTAACCATAAAGCTTATGCCAATATCATCAGTCTGTTCTGTTGTGACGATAAAAGAAACAAGTTTCTTTTAAAAATGCATTATCATATTACATATTATTTTAGTTAAAACTCATAAATAACTACAAATAACTAATGTTAGGGAAATCTGTTAATGTTTTGTTGCGCGTTTCTGAAATAAATAAAAAAATATCGGCCGATATATCGGATTTTAAAACCAAAAAAATATTTGTATCGGTATCGGCCTTCAAAATCCTTTATCGGTCGGGCTCTACCCCACACACAACTTGTTTCTTACAGAATCCTGATATTGGTTTTTAAAGGTCTTCATGGTACTGCTTCTGCATACCATAGCAATATGATTACTAAATATAATCACTCGGGTCATCGAACGGCGACTTGCTTGTACTGAAAGCATGGCTAAAAAGTTGGAACTCAACACTGCTGATTGGCATTTCTCTTCAAGTAACTGCATTACTCGGCAAAATAATTGTTCATTGCGATTTTATCATTAATGAATTCAAATATTAAGGAGGATGTATTATACTTTTATTTACATTTTCAACTTTCTTTAGTGTGTAGTGTAATGTTGCTGTTTAAGGATGAAAAAGGTCTGCTAAGTCACACAACACTCTCTATATCAGTGCGCACTGTAACTCCCTGAGTTTTCTTTCTGGAACGTACGTGTCACAATATCCCTTCTTTAAATAATTCCAGCCCAAGGCATATGCGGAAAAAAAAGGGGCAAGGCCTGGTTGAGTTGCGTTAGTAGTTTGTTGAAACTTGCGGTTGTAGTGAGGGCGAGATGACCAATCACAACCCACTGGTCCAGTCGACCAATCAGGTTCTTCATAGATACAGGAGCTAAACCGTTACTGGGAGGAAACTTTAAGCATGAAAACATATTCTAGTTAGTAGACCCCAAAAATCTGCTTCACATTAATCCTATCAACACCCTGTAACTGGCTTAAAATCACTGTTACACATAACTTCTTGTTAATTATCGCTCTGTTAGAGTATTCACTTTTAAAAAAACTTTTGCTCATAATTTACTCACCCCCGTGTCATCCAAGATGTTCATGTCTTTCTTTCTTCAGTCGAAAAGAAATTAAGGTTTTTGATGAAAACATTCCAGGATTTTCTCCATATAATGGACTTCAATGGGAACCAAACCAGACGATGAATAAGGGTCTTATCTAGCGAAAAGATGGGTCATTTCAAAAATAAATAAAAACTTTAAGTTTTATAAGCACAAATGCTCGCCTTGCTCTGTTCTGTGATGCGCGTTTGTGACTCTCAAAATGAATGAATCTTTTTGAGTCATTTGGTTCATTCAACGAACGAAATGAGTCGGAAAACGAGTTCGAACAGGAGAGTCACGAGCATTTGTGCATTCTTTTATTTCAGCCGAGAGGTCGTGCCGTCACTTATTAATCTTCTATAAGTCACAACTTCCCGTTATACGAATTTGCAGGTCGGGGTTCACCAAACTTGAACTTTGGATTGTGCTGTAATGCAAAACTTCTTTGCATTAACTTGCGTTCCTTGTCTGCAAAATGTACATGCGTATGAATGGAATTTTTTTCTTTATGTATTTATTCTGACATGTTGTCTGTTTCTCTTGCAGTGGTCCTCCAGGCGTGTGCTCTGGTTCTCTACCCGATCAAATTCATTGATGGCAAAGTCTTGCAAACGTATCACGAGTTCAACTGGGGCTACGGGCTGGGCTGGGGCTCCACCATCTTCATGCTGGGAGGAGGAATCTTATTATGCCTTAGAACAGACATATATGAAGATGCCATGTACTAAGGGCTCCAATACATGATCATGCTCAGTAGACTCAAACATTATATCTGTCAAAGCAAGCAAGTAACCAATCTCTATTACATACAGCACAGGATACCTACATGCAGCACACTCACAACACATACAAAACGTTCCAACCCCATGTCATGAGAATTCATAAATATCCAAACATCACCATAAATCTCCACTCCCTACACCTAACCCTTAGAGGCGAAGAGACCATTCAAAATCAGATGAATTTACATTCAAATCATGTCATGTGACTGTGTTGGCTGCTTCCCAATGCACATGCTTACAGTATGAAATGCATTGTTTGCATTTGTGTGCTCTTAAAAATATCTATTGGCATCGATAGTTCAATGAGCGCGTTTAAAGAAGTAGTTTACTCACCCCCATGTCATCCAATATGTCCATGTCTTTCTTTCTTCAGTTGAAAAGAAATGAAGGTTTTTGATGAAAACATTCCAGGATTTTCTCCATATAATGGACTTCATTGGGAACCAAGCGGTTCAAGGTCCAAATGAGAGTTTCAGTTCAGCTTCAAAGGGCTTTAAACGACACCAGATGATGAATAAGGGTCTTGTCTAGGACCCTTCGAGTCATGACTCGAAAAAAGATTTGTTTATTTTGATGAACGAGTTCGAATAGGAGAGTCACGAACGTGCATCACACAACAGAGCAAGGTGAGCATCTGAGCTTATAAAACTTAAACTTTGTTATTTATTTTTGAAATGACTGATAGATAAGACCCTTATTCATCGTCTGGTATCGTTTAAAGCCCTTTGAAGCTGCACTGAAACTCTCATTTGGACCTTGAACCGTTTGGTTCCCAATGAAGTGCATTATATGGAGAAAATCCTGGAATGTTTTCATCAAAAACCTTCATTTCTTTTCAACTGAAGAAAGAAAGACATGGACATCTTGGATGACATGGGGGTGAGTAAATTATCAGCTAAAGTTTTTTTTAAAAGTGAACTACTCCTTTAATATCCATAGAACCTTTCCATTCCATAAAAGGTTCTTTATAGTTGAAAGGGGTTCTTTAGATTATTGAAATAGTCTTCACACTAAGAAACAAAAAAAAATAATATTATTTTTTGGTTATTTTAAGATCTTTTGGGGATCCCAAAATGTTTCTTTATGGCATCACTTTTGGAACATTTATTTTAAAGAGTGCTAAATTCTTCTTTCCACTTAACCTTTAGAATCATACATTTAAAAATGATATTGCAACCTTGACAAATGTCTACAACTGAAACTCTGAAACGAGTCATCACAAACGCCTGTTTCCATTGTGCAGTTGGCACTGATGCACACTTGGAAAATCCACTAGAAACCGTGTGCAGTCAGGGAACCATTCACTCTTCAAAAGAAAGATTTTTTTTTGGCATCACATTCATGGAACCTTTCCATTCCACAAAAGGTTCTTTGATTCTTTTAAAATGATTCTTTTGAAAACTGGTCACTAAAAGGTTCTTTAGGGAACCAAAAATGGTACATCGCCCTTTTGAAACCTATATATTTAAGATGGTTGGTGCTAATTTTATACTGTTTTTAATGTACTGTGTTTTGGGACATGGTAATCTAGGACGGATAGTATGTGAATTGGGATGCAGCCATTTACAAGTACACAAAATCTGGCATATTACATATACAAGTATGCACACTCAATTGCTCCTGTACAGTGTGAAGGCCTAAAATGATGAGCTGTTACTACAAGCTTTGGAATGGATGAAGTGTGAAGAAAAATTGTGAACTGGACTGCAAGAATTCAGAGTGTTAACATTAAATGTCCCGATGGACATTTAAAGAAATGGGTTTGCGCCCTTTTAACCATTCAGCAGCATATCCCATGGACCTCTTTCCATAAGGAAAAAGTAATGGAGCAAGTTCTCGAGGAATTGTTTTCTTTATGAAAAAGTATACAGTATATAGTTGCTTTTACCATTTTGTATATTTCTTGTGTTGCGCTATCTGATAGAGAACATATCATCTTGTTAATGTGTTTATAGTATGCAGATGTTTGGATTTAAAGGATATATATTTTCTGTCATGTTGTTTGATATTTGCAGTTTTTGAAATACTAAATAGATTTAGGGGAGAAGACCTTTTACCTGGGCTTTACAGCTCAAACATTTCAGTTTCCTTTCTCCGTTGTAAAATAGAACAATAAAACATACTGTTGAAAACAAAAAGCAGACTCAGTGCTCAATTGACACCGATTGTTTCATGTTAGCATGTTGCTAAGCTAAGAATGCTATACACAAATATCGATTTTTTTTTAGATTGATCTTTTTAATGATCATTTTCTGTATTGAATGAAATGTAAACAGATTTAGTATCAACATTCACTGTCACACAAATTGGGTAAATTTAACATGAGTACAGCTATCCAAAACTGACATCTGACATTAAAAAAAAAACTGCAGTGCTTCAAAGCTAATTTCCCTGCTAAATCAACTGTGCTAAACAATTCAATGGCAAAGGAGAGAAAATATATGCTAAATGTAGCATTGTCAATCACATGCAGTGCACTAACAATGTCAGGCCTGTGATGTTGATGTGTGATTGAGGTGGTGCTAGAGTTTTCTGAGCTGGATTAAATGTCTCACTATGTTCAATGACAATGACGAGTTACTTTTTGTTATTGTAACAATATTTTATATCTGGTCACAAAAATAGGCAAAATGTTCTTGAATCCAGATTTAGCTTCAGATTTTATGTAACTGACTATCATTATAAAAAAAATAACATAACTAGTCTTAAAGAAAAAAAAATATAATACCATTTTCAACTAAAAGCGTAAAACTTTTTAATGTGTTTACACGACGGGTATTTTAGGGCTGAAAACACAAGCTTTTAAAAATGGGTTTCAAAGTGCACTTTTCTTCTGTCATCTCTGTGTAAATACAAAAATGCATTTTTAAAAAAAAAACAATGACATCATCATGCACATGCACATTACATGTTCTATAGGTGTGTAGTGGTTCCTTAAAAGTGACATCACCAACTACTGGCCTGGCAGCAGAATACAGTGTTTAAGTTGTTTTCGTGGATCTGTGTGAATCATTTTGACAAAGGTGTCATCCGTTCATGAACAATGCAAATGAAAAAAAAAACTTCTCAGTTTTTAGTACATTGTTTTCATGTAAACAAACCCTAAGAATTTCATGCAAGTGGACTTGTCGGTATATGTCTGGACCACAAAACCCTTTTTTTTTTTTAGATTTATAAATTACATGAAAACTGAATAAATAAGCTTTCCATTTATGTATGGTTTGTTAAGATAGGACAATATTTGTCCGAGATATGATTATTGGAAAATCTAGAATCTGAGGGTGCAAAAAAATATAAACATTAAGAAAATCGCCTTTGCTGCTTTCACTCACAAAAATAAATGTTTTATATATTTACGGTATGGAAATTTACTAAATATATTCATGGAACATGCTCTTACTTAATATCTTAAAGGGGTGGTAAAATGCCATTTTCACAAGATGTGAAATAAATCTCTGATGTCCCCAGAGTGTGTGTGTGTGTGTGTGTGTGTGTGTGTGTGAGAGAGAAGTTTTAGCACAAAATACCCACAGATATTTTTATATAGCATGTTAAAGTTGTCACTTTTTGAGGGTTTGCAAAAACCCACCGTTTTGTGCCTGGCCCTTTAAATGCAAATGAGCTGCTGCAGAGGGCGGGGTTTCGGGAGCGTGTGTTAGCAGCTGCCATTTCCTCACGCAGACACTAAAATGATAGAAACTGTTCTCCCTTTAAACAAAGTCAATGTTAAAACGAAGTCAATCAAAGATGGAGAGACTCAAGAAGAAGTGACAACATGTAGAATACAACAGGACGTCTCTGAATGGTTAGTTCATATATTTATGTTTCTGATGTGGAGTTAAATATCTTCAATTAGGATATACTGTCATGTAATCTATAAATCGCTCATATAGGAACTGTTGTGAGATGCACAGAGTGACTTTCTATTGCATGTGAAAAGATGGATGGTTGGTGATGTCACTAACCCAGGAGGAATGTCCTGTAGTCCCCACCAGCCATTTGTTTCTGTAAAAGCAAATATCTCCCTTTTGCTTTGAACTTTGAGACTTGTAACTTTGATAATGTTGTTTAGGCTCAAACAGCAACATTTTACACTAACTAAAGTAAGAAAAGTGAAATCATAGGCCTACTTTACCACCCCTTTAATGATTTTGGGCCTAAAAGAAAAATTGATAAATACAATACATTCGATGTATTGTTGGCTATTGCTACAAATATACCCATGCGACTTATGACTAGTTTTGTGATCCAAGGTCACATATGGAATCCCTCTTTTCGCCTCTCTTGAGTTCGTAGTTCAGAAGTTAGTTATGCAGGTAGGTATCTTTATTTTAAGGACATTTTGTTTTTGTTGTACAGTACCAGTTTTGGGTTGCCTCTTGTGGCCTTTTCCACAAAGCCATTTTAAGTGGCTACCAATGTATTTTAGTAATTACCACACATATAAATACAAGCTTTAGCATAAACAAACTTGTCCTGGAGTTCCCTCCCACACCGGACACAGTCACACTCAATTCAAGTCTTGCTATCTCTGCTAATGAGCTGACTTGACTCAAGTGTGTTAGATGAGGGAGACACACTAAATGTGCAGTGGGGGTCCCTGGGACATGTCCGGCTCTTGAAAGTCCGGCTGTCACTTTTGCCACTTCCCCCACCACTGGTTCCCAAAATAGTAAAAGGAACGTAACACTCCAAATATGAAAGGGCCATTTATAAAGTAGGTGTTGGGGTGAGGATGTGATTAGTCTGAAGTAACAAACTTACACTGTTTTCCTCTTAATTTTTCTTCCCTTTCTTAGTGAGAAAAGATTAAACATCTAAACTATCTTAACTGAACAACTTAATAAAGTATAGAAAGTGAAAACTGACATCCAATTATATGCGAGATCCAAAAATGGGTATAAAGGCTGGGGCGTAATGAGCTGCCGGGATATTGATAGTGCTTCCTCAGGCCTTCTACTATATAGCGCTTCTATTGTAGTGGACAAAAGCAGCACACATAGTGGAATGAAACAACAGCATATTAATCATTTGCTCGCTGCATAATTATGAGAACTTCCCCTCATATGAACCCAGCTAAACCTCATAACACATACAGCTGGACTTTCTTTCAACTTCGGGACACAAATAAAGATCTTTTTGATGAAATCCATTGACAGATACGCAACTACCATTTGACACTTCAAAAAGTTTACATGGAGATCATAACACATATCCAAATGAATTGAGCGTCCATATTTTCTGAAGACTCAATCGCTTTATATGATAAACAGATTGAATTTAGGCTTTTATTCACATTTAACATAAACAGTGAGCATAAACAGAAGCTCAGCCGAACATTCTTGACACGCAAGAACAAACCTCATTGGTTCATGCAGAAGCTCAAACGTGATGCGCA